AGCACACCCGCAATGGCTCTCTGCTCAATGGCCCTCTGCTGGGTCCCACAAGCCACACGTGCAACGGTCTGATCGTCTAGGGTATCTCTGCCGCCTGGTCCCACCTGTAAGGGCCGAGTCAAAAGGTTGACCTGACGGAGACGGCAGAGTTCACAAAACGAGTTGGTGCGCACGGACTAGGGGCAAAACTGAGCACGATTCGCATCCGAGGGCAAAACTGAGCACATGAACACCACTAAGGGTAAAAGGATAATTAACCCTATATATTTTGTGTGTACCACTTTAAGTTTATTTGCACACTAATCCAAAACATAACATTTATGTAACTTTAGCTTTCGTGATGACGAATGGGGAATCAATGATTCTATGCAGTGGCATGTCTCGAGCATGAGACGAGATCAAAAGTTATAAAACACGATTGAGGAGGGTAATTAACACACCACCTTGGGTGTGTGCGTCTTAGTTATGCAGAGGTCGGGTGAAATGCTTAATTTTTTTAAGTAATAAAGTGCTCCTTCTCCAAAAAAATTAACAAATCAGCGGACATTCTCGTACCTTTACTACTTACTCCCTCAGATCCAAAATAATTTAATATTTTTTTTTGAAAGGAGGATGACCCCCGGCAAATAATTGAATCTATAGGTTTTTCTTAACTCAAACATGTTTCTTCTTCCATGTATTCTTTATTTCCTTTTCCTCTTCTTTTCTGTGTTCAGTCTTTTGGAGGAAGGGACGCAGCCGGAAGGGGGAGATTTGTGAAGGGTGAGTCTTTGAGTGAAAGGCAATAAGTTTGATCAAGTCTATTAAAAAACAAAATCGCTGCACAAAACATTTAAAAGCGATTGTGTTTTTTAGCTCCTCAGATGTTATTTTTGGATGGAATTTTGGAAGAGCCTCAAACACTTGATAGAGTTTGATATCGCAAAAATTCAGAGTTTTTGGATTTTGTTTGATACCCTTTTCTCAGCTTTTTTGCTAACTTGGGTGTAGTACACCTGAGAGTAAAAAATCGAATCTCGTTAATTAGCCCCCTCAAAAGCGTTGTATGTCTTTTGACCCCATCTAAACTCATGCTCAAGACCTGCCACAACATAGAGTCATGGATTCACTATTAGTCGTCTTGAAATCTTATGTTACAAGAAGTCTTATGTGCATTTAATGTTTGGATTAGTGTGCGTATAAACTGAAAGTGTTATACACACAATATATATGTTAGAATATTAGGCAATTTTGTGAATAATTCCAGTAAATAATTCATGACTAGAACACTAATTAGCAGGCAACACCGTAGCATACTAGATGAACATGAAAATATGCACAACATCACACATGTAACAACAACTACAATTCTAGACATGACTAGATCACGACAGACACACTGTTTGTTAGTAGTGTAGTGTGGCCTAACGATCGGTTGTTGACAGTGTTGAACACAATGAGTAGTGCCGCATGACTTGGACGGAATACGACCCATGGTGATGAACTTGAACAGTGGCACAGAGCGCTTTTAACATGCGACCTGGCAACATCTGCACCAGACGAGCTTAGGTCTTGCCGGCGAGGCTCACAGCACCACCTACAGCCGTGGGCGATCAGATGTGCCTGAGACAAATCGAACCGCCGCCGCCATGGGGGCCCACAACCCAAAACCACCACGCTAACCGACGCCACAAATGCTCCCACCCTTTCGCTGCAGCACTACTTAGGGGCAGCGTCCCACGCCACTGCCCACCAAACGGTGAGGAGAGGCTACCCCTGCGTAGCCATCACTTATCGGGTTTAGTAGCAACGGGAGGGGACGAGATCGCCGGTAGGTACACCCCCTCCCGGCCCATCGCTCGTGGGAGCTAGCTGGGGGCGAGGGGGATTTTGTTTTTCCTTTCACCGTCCAATGATCCATATTCATTTTCTCATTTTTGGACCTAAATATAAAATTCTATTATTGTGGTCTACCAAAGATGCCCCCCACTCATGAAGCAAATCCCGATGGAGTACGATCTATTGAGCTCTGTAGTTTGCTACGTCTCTATTGGAGCAATAATTGCCTCCTTATGTTTTGGAGATTGTTGTCATAAACAGTGATAGACTAATGTGTTTGCTAGTGCACAGAGAGTAACAAGTCCCTAAAGTCATCAGGAGTTCAGTACAAACTCCAAAGATAATCTCCTGCCAGGCAGCAAAGATTATCACCAAAGATTATGTATGTCAAAAGTGAACCCCAAAATTGTTTACGTGAAGCAATTGGTTCGGTGCCTGTCCAAAGAAATTGACTGCAGCCGGGAAGTTTTGAAGACGAAGCGAAGACGTAGTATCTGTTTCATAGTTCATCTTTCTCTTTCTTGAGTCATAGGACCACCGTATTATTGAGGGGTATAGCATCTGATGCTAAACCCGAATCCTATGTGAGATGGGAGATATCTCTTTGTGTTCCAAATAAATACTTGTCAGCAAAATACAGAGTTCTTCTTCACTACGAGAGATTTGATTCGGACCAAGGAGTTAGCATTACTTGCTCTGCAAGAAATGTTATCGTTGTGCTAAAAAAATCCGACAGTTAGATATGTGTCGGTTGGAGATTGGCTTAGTGGTCATGTCCAAAATTCTTTTCCCATCGGAAAGACCGCGACTATAAATAGCCCACCCCATCCAACATGCACAGTTGGTTGCTCTGTGTGATTCTGAGAAGATTGAGTGAGCACCATCTCACCTGAGTGATTTGAGTTTAAAATCCACCGAGAGAAAAACCCAGAGCCCCAAAAAATTAGATAGTGGTATAGCATCACTAGAATCTATGTCTAGTACGCTTCACCTATTACTCTTGAGAGTTGCGAACTCTCTAGATGGTTAGGTGTCAAATTCTTCAGTGACCAAGAGTAATTGTGGTTCACGAAGAAGTCTGTAAACATTCAGAGATCATGAGTGATCGACATTGATTGATGAATCAGTTGTCGAGGAGAATAGGACGAAGAGAGTTTATCTTGTTCAATCATGAACACCTTCAACTAGACGTAGTCCTTTTGCAGAAGGGCGAACTGGCCTACCAAATTGTCTGTCGCCATCAAGCATCACCGGTTACCTCTAGACTCAATTTACATTTGACTACATGATGCATGTTAAGTTTCGGTTAAGTGTTTGCTTTTGATGCATGCCTCGGTTCTCACTCGCTAGTTAATATTCACTCTCTGTTTACTGTTTATCTGCTGCTGTGTTATGAGAGATTTGAAGTTTTCAAAGAAATTTTAAATCTCCCATTCAGCCCCTCCCCATAGACATACTTCGTTCTTACACTCTCCTCCTTCCCTATATCTTTCATCCCTCTCCTCCGCAAGCTCGGTAGGTAGATATCTGTCTTTTCCTTTTCCTTTCCTTCTATATCCTCTCGTTATCTTGGTTTTTCTAATGGAGCAGCCGCCTATATAGGTTATTTTCAGGCAACCACTAGAGGTTCATGTTGACATCTGAGCCGGTGGTATGTGGGGCAATATGTTAGGGCTAACAATTAGCCATGCCGTCGTTGCAAATTGGCACCGATGCTTATTTTGATAATTTTTTTGCGGCTGTGATAGGCAGCACCTTCATGTCCTCCTAATGGAACCCACATCCTAGTAAACTAAAGCAGAAAATCTGATTACATATCCCTAGGATAAAGACACTAACAGCTATACAAAAGTACCATATAAAAGAAAAATATCCGGAAGATTCTTACGGATACTAATTAACTTGATGATGTTTGCCATGGTGTGGTTTACTCTATGTGCTCCACTTAAATTATCTGCCCCGTGCGAAGCGACTTCGTGGATGCCAGCCAGCTAGACCAAAGAAGTAGAAGTCAAAAGCCACTTAAGAATCATCATAAGACCTCTACAATCCGCAGACAACTAATTAACTAATTGACTACAAACTCTCATTTCCTCAATCCCAGCCTGTATATAAAAGCATCCAAAGACCTCTACAATCCACAGACAACTAATTAACTACAACTCTAATAATCATAATGCTAGATTGCATATATAAGCATCCAAAGACCTCTACAATCACAGTAGTTGCACTTTGAGATATGGGCATTTTTGTTCCTCAATACATAGCTTTGTGTGGAGTTACACTTGTGATTGGATGGCTTGTATAGTGGGTATACAAATGGATTAACCCGGTTTGCAACGGGGTTCTTCCTCCTGGCTCCATGGGATTCCCTGTGATTGGTGAGACCTTGGACTTCTTCAAGGCAAGCCCTTCCCTAGACATCCCTGACTTCTACAAACTAAGGATGAAAAGGTACCGCTTGAATGGAGATCGATCCATGTTATACTATTGCTTGTCATGTTTTTTCATTGCAAGAAATCATATGCTCGAAAACAAGTAACTCTGTGGTTACTGCTTGCTCAGGTACGGCCCGATTTTCAAGACAAGCTTGCTGGGGCAGCGTGTGGTTATTTCCACCAACCCGGAGATGAATCGGTTTATCCTCCAGCAGGAAGACACATTGTTCCGTATTTGGTTCTCCCGGGCACTGGCAAAAATATTCGGGGAGAAGAGCCTGGAAGCCTTCCATGGCAAAACCCACAAGTTCATCCGAAGATGCGCCCACACGCTGTTGGGTATCCAGACTCTCAAAGATGTGCTCCTTCCTGAGATGGAGGCCGCTGTGAGAGAGCGCCTTGCCGCATGGGCCACCAAGCCGAGCGTCGATGTGCGCAGCGGTGCGCCCGACGTAAGTGCACACACACATGCCTTGGTTACCATCCCATTTCTTCTTCCTGCCCTACTTGCACGAAATTTTATAAGTTGCTCGATCCTGCATCTACATACCTTGTATGAGAGCAAGTTAATGCTAGCTAGATATTGTCGTCGTTGCAGCTTCTGTTTGAGCTGGTGATGAAGAAGTGCCTTGGTTTTGATTCCACCAAGTCGGGACAACTGCGGAGCACGTTTGATGTGCTTTTCACAGAGCTCTTATCCTTTCCGATATATTTTCCCGGGACATCATTTTACCGATGCATGCAGGTACATACATGCACAAATTAATTTTTGGATTTCGCTAAAAATCTTATGTCAGATTTTCAATCATGTCATGGCAAATTACATGGTCGTGGCATGGCGATTCCCTTCAGCGAGCATGCCAAATTCTTGCCATGTTCAGTTTTTGCTAGGATTTGCCATGCTCGCTGAAAGGAATTCTCATGCCGTAACAACATAATTTGTCATAGAAAATGTTCGATTTGCGATGTTTAAAAATCTGACATCTGAATTTTAACATTCTCATTTCCCCCCTTCCTTTTTCCAAGATCAAGGGCCGGGGCCATTGTCCCTTCACCATAAATTAGAGGGCGGATATATATTTTGAGTTTTGGTTTTGATTGACAAACGTGGATTAAACTGCCCCTAAAGGTAACTAACAGTTGATATGCTTTGCGCGTGCAGGCAAGGAAAATTGTGCAGAAGACAGTCCGGGACACGTTGGCAGAGAGGTTAAGTGCACCAAGGAATAAACATAGCGACCTCCTTGACATAATTATCGAAGAGCTGCGGGCTGAAGAGACATCACTAAGTGAGAATTTGGCTGTTGATATTGTCTCAGCGTTGTTGTTCGGCAGCGTCTTCACGCTATCAGGAGTCATCGCTGTAGCATTCAAGTCACTCCATGACAACCCAGACGTTGTCCATGCCCTCGAGGTTCGTTGTGTTAATTTCATGGTAGTACTACTATATACTCATTCCGTCTCAAAATAAGTGCTGTATAAATTTATACTAAATCAGCGGCACTTACTTTGGGTCGGAGGGAGTATAATGCATTAGCTTTTGGTTAGCAGATGTAGATGAAAAAAGTTCATGCTATATGATAGCAATTAGCAACGATGATATATAATTTAACGTAAATATCTTTTATGGGAAGATCATGAGAGCAAAAGAATCGAGTGTACCTGGTCAAATCAGCCCACAAATCACAAGTCTAATAAACCAAAATAACATATTAGATTAGCAAGATAGCGTATGTGTTGGACCTGGTTTCAACATTTGTCATTAGTTTTTGGTTAGCAGATGTGTTGGACCATGCATGTGGGCTGCACTTGGCTGACGGCTTTCTTATACTACTGTACAGGCCTACTTTGCAAAGTGGGGACAAGATGGCATAGTTGACCTTAAACATGAACTCGAGCAGGTGCTCATGTTTATCTCAAGTCGGTGCCTACTTGGATATGAGGTTCGAGACATGATGCTGGAAGAAGTATACTCATTATTCCATGACCTTGCAAACGGATTGAACTTTCTCAGTTTCTTGTTCCCATATACTCCAACCCCGAGAAACCGCCGACGAGACAAGGCACACATCAGGCTGAAAGAAAGATTCACTGCAACCATCAGGTCACGTAGAAGCTCCGGCCGAGTCGAGGAGGATACACTGCAGAGGTTGATGAATTCCAAGTATAAAGACGGTCGCTTTACAACCGAAGCAGAAATTTCTGGCATGATCATGGGCCTTGTCGTTGCCGGACACATCTCAAGCACTAGCACTAGTACATGGACCGGAGCTTGCATGTTGAGCAACACCAAGTTCTTAATAGCTCCATGGAGGAGCAAAAACATATCATTAGCATGTACAAGAACCAAATAGGCTACGAAGCCTTGTCGGAGATGGATACCCTGCATAGATGCATCAAGGAGGCAATTAGAATGCACACATCAGCACCAGTTTTAGTTCGCAAGGCACATACGAAATTCAGGGTGCATACCAAGGAAGGCGAGGAATATGACATACCTAGGGGGCATAACATTCTAGTCCCTACTGCACTCAACAATAAGCTAACACACATTTACAGTGACCCTCATTTGTATGACCCGGATTGGTTTGGCCCTGGAAGAGAGGAGGACAAAGTTGGTGGCAAGTACTCTTTCACAACATTTGGTGGTGGAAGGCATGTTTGCCCTGGCATGGCCTTGGCATACCTACAAATTAAGGTGATATGGAGCCATTTGTTAAGAAATTTTGAGCTCAAGCTAATATCTTCATTCCCTAAGGCTGATGGGAGCAAGATGAACCAAGAGCCTAAAGGAAAAGTAATGATAAGTTATGAGCGACATCAGCTTATGTGATGCTAGTTGTTGTTAAAGTAGTAATGTTTATCTACCTATTTTTCTGTTTGCATTCAAGTATTTTTCATGTGCGAATTATGTGTAATCATTCGCATATATTTTCATGTGTGGCGCCACATACCAGCGATAGAGGAGACCAAATTTGGCATCGCCAAGAGTCGATTGCCCCTAGTTAGTATTAATTTAAAGAATTTGGGTATGGAAAGGTTCGTCCCGAAGAAGGTTTTCCTGCTGTCTCCAAATTCAGTTAGAGTTGTTTCATTTTACTCCAAGTTGTAATTGCTTTATAAGCCATCCCTAGAGTTGTTTCTGATGTGCCCAGGGGAACCTATCCATGACCGGTCATAAATCGCAAATTGCAAATAGATGCGTGCAAGGCAAACTTCCACACCTTGCACGAGGTCCATGGAGAATTATAAGACATATCAAACCGCAAATTATATGAAGAGGTGCTTGGAAACTTATAAGACATTTTAAAATTATCGATAGTCTTTTTCTTTTCTTTTAGTAGCATTCTGACTGCATGGCCACTTGAACCAAATCACATAGGGCATATGTAAATAAACTTTTAGACCAAAGCAGTCTGAAATAGAGGAAGGGAGTAGTTAGTAGTAATATTATAGGGAGTAGATAAACTAGCGGCAGTAGTATTACTCCGAGCCTTTGTGAACAACTTTATGATAGTCTATTAGAAGAATGTATTTTTTTGCGAGAATATCAATGTTTCTTCGCTGGCTCTCTGCGATTCACTTTTGCAAATGAATAAAGCTTGCATGGAATGTGCAGGTATCGTCCCAACATCTGCTAGATTTCCACTATTATCTATGGCTGTGTGCATCGTGTGATGCATAACCCGGGGGATACCATCCTTTTCGGAAAAAGGATTTCCATTATTATCTACTCCCTCCATTCCGAATTACTCGTCTTGAATTTGTCTAGATACGGATGTATCTAGACTCATTTGTCTAGATACGGATTTGTCTAGATACGGATTTACTCGTGTGATACGCGTCGGCCGCGATGCCGAGGCGCTGCCAGAAGCACCGCCACCAACGCCACCACCGGCCCGCACCACCACAATGCTGCCCGCCGCTCGGCGCCACGCCACCATCGCCGGCCTGCTCAAGAGCGCCGTCGTGCTTCCACGCCCGGCATCGAGCGCCGCGCCCTGCCGCGAGATCTGACCCGTGACCCGCGGCGTCGGCCGCGATGCCGAGGCGCTGCCGGAAGCACCGCCGCCAACGCCACCACAGGCCCGCACCACCACCATGCTACCCGCCGCTCGGCGCCACGCCACCATCGCCGGCCTGCTCAAGAGCAGCGTCGCGCTGCCACGCCCTGCCGCGAGATCTGACCCGCGACTAACTCCACATGCGGGGGACGAAGAGGCCCCGCCGCCGCCGGCGACGACCGAGCTTTGCCCTGCCGCGCTGGCGGCGGCGAAGGAGGAGGAGAGGGGGTGCGGCGGTGGCGATCTGGAGCCCTCCCCGACGCCTTCGCGGGTAGCGGCGGGGGAGGGGAGAAGGGGGGAGTAGGGGTTGTAGATTCCACCGCTATACAGGTATTCGATACTCCCTTTCCTAGATACATTCATTCGAGGGACATATTTTTTTGGACGGAGGAAGTAGCTCACATGAAGCTGTAAAATGTCTATAGTTGGTTGATGGTACCGCTTGGGAATTCTTGCAGATTTTAGTTATATCACGCGTAGTTAAAACTTGCCTATTCAGAATCCTTCAGCTGCCGCAGATGATGCATGGGTATTGCAATAAATAGGCCAACTATAAACTGAATTGTTGATTAGGTTTTGAGTTTTGAGTTTATTTTGGAACTACTCATTGTGAGGAAAAGGAAGAGAAAAAACATGGCAGTTTCATCATGATTAGGCTCTTAGAGCATCTCCAACAGCCGCGCTAAACAAGCGCCGCGCCGCAAATTTGGCCATTTTAGCGCGCGCGCAACCCGGCGGGTGGCTTCAGCGGACGCGCAATAACCGCGCGTGCGGTATAAGGAGTTGGGCGCGCGGTCGGATTCGCTATCTCGCGAGGTGTATTTGGGGCGCCCGCTTCCGCGCGCCACACTCTCTATTCTCCGCCTCCTATGCCCCGCGCGCGCCGACGCCGGTGAACTGCACCCATGGACGCACGCGCCGGCACCCCGCTCACCCCATCCTATAGCCGCGACCCCTCCACCACTGCCGCCGCCGCAAACCCTAACCCGGGTGGCGGCCTTGCCTCCGCCGGAGCTCCTCCGACCATCGGCCTCGCGCGCGGCCTCTTCATGCCGCCGCGGATGAGCTCGGTGGCGGGTGTCGTCGCGCCGGCGCCGGCCCGAGCCGCCGCCCCCTCCTCGAAGCTCCCCAATGCGGCGCGGCCAAAGAAGGGCAAGACATTGGCGAATAAGAACAAGGCGGCGGACGGCTCCGGCACCTCGAAGGCGAGGAGGAAGAAGCTTGTAGGGCGTGCGACGGGCGAGGCGGCTACCGAAGCGCCGACAAGCTCACTCGTTGAGCCGGCGGCCGACGCGCACAACATGTTCGACCAAATGCCCCCAAGGTAAAAAAAATTCCAACTTTTCTTTTTTGTTATTTTTTCAATGCATTCATATAGATAGGTTATTTGCATTGTTCAAAAAACTTTGTAGTCTCAATGATGATGCATACATGTCAACTATGGGTGTAGGCTCCAACAATTCGCATTGGTCTCAAACCAGTGACATGCATTCCGATGACCATGAGTTCGAGGTGGACGAGGAGGGTGAGGGCATTTTCGACGCACCGAAAGGAAGAGCGGGCAATTACACCAACGCCGATGACATCTTACTATGCAATACTTGGTTGCAAGTGTCGAGGGATCCATCCATTGGAGGTGATCAAAGTAGAGATGCTTATTGGGGGCGGATGAAAGAACACTTTGATGTTCACAACGTGAGTGGAATTGACCGCTCCGAGAGATCACTTCGGTCCCGATGGTCGACAATCAACTCGGATTGTCAAAGGTGGGCGGCTTGTCAAAAGGCGGTTGACAAGTTGAACCCAAGTGGCACAAATGAGGACGATAGAGTAAGTGGCATTTCATACATGTTCATCATACTTGTTGTTGGTGCTAACTTGCTTTGTTTTCATGTAGTACAACAGAGCGCAAAACTTGTTCAAAGAAGAGGAGAGGAAAACCAAGAAGGGGAAGATCAAGAAAGGAAGGGTCTTTACCTTGTCCCGTTTCTATAACGTGTTGAAGGATGATGAGAAATGGAAGAAGCGTGATGATTTGGATGATTTGCATTTGAGCAACAAACGCAAGCGAACAATTGAGTTGGATGATGATGATGAGGAGGATGATGCATCAAGTGATGACGGCAAGAGAAGCCCCACACCCAACTCGGTTTCATACTCGAAGCCAAAGCGACAGGATGGGTGCAAGAAAGACAAAACCGAAAAGAAGAAGAGGAAAGGAGATGATGAGCTCAAAAATGCTATGGCAGCTATTGTGAAGGCAAGAAAAGAAGCCAACGAGGTGAAGAAAATGGCAAGGACCCAAGATGCCGCGGCCGAGGAGAGGAGGTTGGCGGCCGAGGAGAGGAAGGTGGCTTTGGAGAAGAGGAAGGTGAGCAATGAGGAACGAACAAGATTGTTGGAATGGGAGAAGCACTTGTTCTTCTTGGACACATCTATCCTCAATGAGGCGCAAAAGGAGTTTGTCAATCTTTCCCGTGAAGAAGTCTTGATCCAAAAAAGAGCGATGGTTCGTGCAATGGGTGGCGGTGGCCTCGGCGCCATGGGTGGCATGGGTGGCTTCGGAGGTACCGCAGGCGGTTTAGGTGCCATAGGAGGCATGGGTGGCTTTGGAGCACCCCCCGACGCTATGGCTGCCATGGGAGGCATGAGTTTTGCTTTTCTCATGGGAGGCATGGGTGCACCTCCGGCCGCCATGGGTGGAATGTCTTTCGATGTGCCTCCTCACACACATTCTCATGAAGATGCCGTTGAAGATCTTGCCAACACCGTCGGAGCTTCACGTGATGCGGTGCACGATGAGGAGAGGGAGGAAGATTCATCTTCGGAGGCGGAAGAATCGTCTTCCGAAGATGAGGACGAAGACGAGGACGAGGATTGATGTGTCTTTCATTTGTGTCTTGAACTTGGTTTGTATTTTGAACTTGGTTGGATGAACTTGTGGGCATGATTTTGAGCTTGTGGGCATGAACTTTTATTCATCAACTTGTTTGTGTGAAATTTTATATGTCATGTTCATTGCATTTTGAATGTTTTAAATTTATTTTGTGTCAAAAATGTCATATATGCAATGCCCCGGTGAGTCTCGCGCGTTGCATTTTTTGCGCGCTGCTGGAGCGGCGCGCGCTGCATTTTAGCGCGGCTGTTGGAGCCAGCGTTGGCGGCCGCGTAAAACCAGACGAACGGCGCGCGGCAAACTAGTTTTTGATGCGCGCCGCGAAGCGCGGCTGTTGAAGATGCTCTTAGCGTGGTGAAATGGTTGGACATGTTGTCTAGTTAGGCTCCGTCGGTAATCGTTGACTATGTGGTAAATATTAACATGCCTGGTTTGGTCGTCGATTTTTCAAAAGCATATGACCTAAATATACATATTTTGGGAGCTCTCTGCACACGCATCTTACAACAATAATAGCAAGAACAGGCAGATCAGAATATACTACTACACTTAAGTTTAAAGCGGCGGGGCATCCCATGCCCCTGCTGGAACCCAGGTTTCTAAGCCCTCGGAAAAATGTAGACAAGTTTAGCAACAAAAGAGACGATCAAAATTCAGTTCAGACCTAACCTAGTTCATACTTCAGACGATCTAGACAAAGAGAACCAAGAGGGCATGACAGATGTCGCCGACGCAGCTATGCTTCGAGCACTGGACCAGGCCCGTACGGCACACCTGTGCAGAGTGTTCGACTGTACAGGGCCCCCAAATTGACAGGGCCAAATTTTATATGTAGAACATTGATGACTAGTTTAGGTGTGGGTAATCTAACTC